TGTCTTAAACAGATCTCTGATACATTATTAATAACCTGACAAACTACTGGGTGGCCTGAAGCAATACATCAAAATCTGTGCTAAGCCAAACACAAACCTCACAAAGAGTGAAGCTGGATGGAAATGTACGTGTGTGCCGCCTTGTATTAATAACATTGAGGGGACAGACACTGTTCACATAGTCACATTATGGGGACTCACCTCCCAGACAGTGACAAAAAACAGAACCTTTCTTGCTTGGGGGGGTTTCTGGAGGAACTTTTAACAGCTAAAGGTTACTTGAGGAAACCTGTAATAACAGAAAAGGCTTCCTGAAGGAACCTTTAGTAAAAGAGGATCTTATTTAATGTATTTTTATATAACATAAGGGTGTTACTTACTGTTTCACATGTACTTAGATTTCCAGCTCATCAAATCATCAAGAACTAACCTTTAAACAAACATGAAATTATTTAAGTAGAATTTAAGGAAACGCCTGTATGATACATGAGTGTCCCAGCAGGCACATACCAGTCCCTCCTGGACTTTTTGGGGGATGGCTAAATAGTTGTTTTTAAAAAAAACATGCAAATGCAATGCATGTTGTGACCTTTTTAGGCATTTCTGTATAATTCACCTTAAAAATCAAAGGCAACCTTGTTCCAGTGGTACCAATAAAATCGCTCGTGTTTGGACAGGAGTAACTGTGAGACATTTGGCTTCATACATTACTTATATCTTCACAACTTGAAACGCAGTAACGGGTTTGTGACGTATGGCTCAACATTGCACAGGACTACAATAATTGGTCAATTTGTGGAAACATGTGATTGATTGGACACGAACACAAGGTTGCACAGAATTCACAAGGGATTGTGGAATTTGTATTGGCAATGCCAACATTACTTTTTCCTGGGAGGAACTTACACATGTATATATATATATACACATTTATATATATATATATAAATATATATAATATAATATATAATATATAACATAAAAAAAATCACAAATTGTTAAAATTTATAATGTAACTTTCAGATTACAACATCCCCTTCCTGTCCAGTGAAAAACAATCTCCAGATGTGTTGGATTTGAATGTTTGTGATAAAGTGAAAGATTAAGTGTTCCTTTATAGGTTAAGTACATTCTCCTAATTAAGCTAAATAAACAAAACTATCTTGGATTAGGTGGAAAATGTGTCTTCACAAACATATGATGATCTAATACAACACGATGCATTACTGTAGATTAAACTATCCAACAGTATATATAGTGGTTAAAATGAGCTCAACCATAAACATCTACAGCAGTTTTTGCAACATACACTGCAGTAATATTAATCCAAAAACATCAGATATAATAGTAAAACAATGACAGGGACCATTTTACTGCACTATGAGTTGTCACTGAATTAATGTATTCTAATTTTGCAGAGCCGCCCAACAGTGTCTTTTACGTGTGTTAGACAAATTAATGACATGCAAATCATTTACTTATAGAGCCCATTGAGATTTTTTTTCATTATTATTTGATTTAATGGCTGGAATTCTGATCATACAAAGAATAATTTTAGACTGTATGATGCTCAAAAAAATATATTTGTCGTACAAAGTGTCAAGTGTCAAGTTCTGCAAGTCATTACACATTCTTCTCAACCACACTCAGTGTTCTATAATATGCAATCCTGTCTCCTAGAAATTACATCTATATAGTTAAGTGTTCCATTTAACGTTGACAATACTTATTCTTATGAAAATGTTTTATTCCTGTTTTACTGAATCCGTCCTCACATTCTCTTTCTTTAACTGGTATGGGTTTCTTACATTCAAAAACTAGAATACAGGTAATTGTCAAAGTGTGACAGTCATTGTAACAGTGACAAGGACAAATGAGAAAAAAGACACAAACGAATACATACAAGGTTCTGAGGCATGAGCAGCAGTGATTGATAACACTGCCCACTGCTTTATGTGCAACAGTCAGTGACTCCACACTTTGCAGCTTTAATGAGACTATATTATTCATTATTTCAAATTACCTTAAATAGAGCGATTAGGATTTAAATTTTAATAAATGGCCCTTGAGTGCAATGCTGCAGTCACAGTCAGGACACACACACACACACACACACACACACAGAGTGAAGCAGAGAGCGGTGCTGGTCATTTAGTCAGGCTGTCAGTGACACCTGCTGGTTGACAGAAGCACATATAGCTATCAGTCTCATGAATCAGCCTTTCATTCATTTATTTCAGTTAATAACAACTATATTTCTGTCTGACTTTCAAAGAAATATTATCATCAAGTGTTACTTACTGTTGCCTTTTATGTCATCTTTATTAAATGACAAAGAAAACCTGCATTTCAAGTCACAGTGGCTCAATGTATATGATACAAATTCAAAATTTTTTTTGGTCTCAAAGATTTTTAACCAGCAAAATACAGTGAATCAAAATCAGAATGTGACAACATTAGGTTTGCATTGAGACAGTTTGCTCATGTGATAGAGAAAACAGTGATTGCTTGAAGCTTGTTTAAGTTAACTGGACACAAATAGATTCAGGATTAATTCAATTTATTTAAACATAATCTTGTTTTCATTAAACCAACCACAGCCATGCAAAAATCTAATATATGACCATATATTAAATTACATATAAAGTGTCAATTTATGTCTTTGACCAGTATCCACAAGTCACATATATTTACATACAACCAATATATTTCTAAATATGGCTGTTTTTATATATGTTCACTATATTTTTCAAATATACACACTTATATAATATATAAGGTTTTGTGACATAAAGGCTGAAATATGAGGTAAGCATATATTGTTTTATAGACCTTTTTCAGAGCAGCTCCTTTGACATAAAATAGTAGGGTAAACACGGGTGTTACCATCGATACAAATTATTGTTCGGTTTAATTTATGTCAAACAGAGTCAGGATGCAGCTATTGTGCATGTTGGCTCACTAGAAAGATTACACTAAATGGAACAGAACCTTAATTAGTGTCACTAGTAACGTCTGTGTTCAAACACTGAAGCTTACTCTTTCCCTTTACTCCACATTAAATTCATAAATAAATTTTTGTTTGTTTCATTCACGGTAGAGCTGGGTTCAATCTCAACCTGTGGTCCTATGCTGCATGGTCCCCCTTCTCTTTCCCCTGTTCCTGTCTATGTTCACCTGTCCTCACAAAATAAAAGCATAAAAAGCCCAAAAAATATCTTTTTATAAAAGTAGTATATATTTCCACTTTAAATAAGCCTTTATCCACTTACAATAGTGAACGTTGCTTAGTGTGTGTTAATTTTAATTATAATTACAATTAATTATTGTAATTAGAATTAGAATTACAATTAAACTGTCTAATTTTTCAAAAAACGTGGAAGTTTCAGTGTAATTTTATACAGATAATATCTGTGCTGTAAACATTCAGAGAGTTTATCATATCTGTCAAGTACAATATTATAGGGACTTCTTGAGTTGGTTTAACCCACATCTGGGATGAAATGCTTGGTGGAAGGCCTCAACCATTAGGGCCCCTGAAGTCGGGTTCACTGTTTGGCGATTAGTTCCTAGTAATTGAATTAATGCTAATTAGGTTGATAATGCTGTATTCACTAATACAGCTCACTGTAAACTGAAAGGATGGGAGCCTTTAAAAGCCATCACCTGTATTATGTTGAAGCCCCTGTTTTATACAGGGGCCCTGTGGTAAAATGTAGTTTAAGGCCTTTATTATTTCAGTATATATTCTGTGTGCACTTAGCATTTTACTAAATAAACGCATCACAAACATATAACAGATTTTTTGTGGGTTGATCCTACCCTGCAAGTAAAACTCAGGACAAAACTCTGTTGGCTGTACTGCGTGTGTAACACATACAGCTCAGACTGACAAAGCTTTCAAGACAAAATGATTCTGTCACCACGAGTGCCTGAATTGGACCAAAAAAAGTGCCAGTGCCCTAATTCAGCATAACCCTGACAACAACATGAACTGAAATGAACCTATCCCTAACCCTAAATCTGTTGGCCTTTTAAAAAAAATCCATTTTACTGAGGACATCTTCAGCACTGATTTCTCAGCGTTAAGCTAGCTATGTGTTTACACCATTGACAGTATATATAATAGACAGAGTTTCTGGGTCTGTGAAGTAAAGCTGACGTGTGTCTTAAACTTGCATTCTATGTAATGGCCAGCAGGGGGCAGCTCCATTGGCTGCAGTAAAACACAGCTACCATGCTCTGACAAACTCTCATGGTGACAACCATAATGCCAAACTCGAGGCTTCAAAACTACTCCACAAACCAATGGGTGACATCACGATAGGTTCCCACTTGGTTTACACAGGAGCGCAATAATGCAACCATTGTTTTTTTCCCAGCCCTACTCTTCTAACACTAGCACATCATGTTCAATCAATCAGTGTTTAGGGGTGTGTAAGAAGTAAGGGTACTCAATTACCTGTGAGTACTGGTCCATTTCAGGCACTGGTTGCCACCCTAAAGCTTGCACTAGTAAAGATTTAAGAATGATAGGTGTATTGTTGGCTGCTTCAATCTTAACACACTAAACTGCACCTGCCGTGAGTCATTAAAAGTCAGGAAAAATACATATTTCATTGTCTGAACTGTAACTGAGGAAGGGGCATCTCTTCACTGCTGTTTCTCTCTCACTGTTTCTCCTCCCTACAGTCACTTTTCCTCTGTTTGCATCTGTTCCAATCTTTCCTTGAAATATAAACACACAATACATATTGCATGAGCACAAGCACACAGTTTCTACAATCCCACTTTTCTTTTTCTTCCGTTTTTTTTAAATATATATATGTATATACGCATATAGTGTATATACATTTAGTAAATATCCAGCATAGTCGTGTTACATAATCAAGATGTTTGCATTTCTTTTCTGTTGCTGTGCCAGTCTACAGGAGTTCAGTCTCCTTCAGAGTTGACTGGTGATCAGCAGTGTGGACATCGGTACTGTGTTTCCTTTCTAGTCATACGGAGGACAACACCTCCCCCGACACCTCCCTCTCCCTCTCTCGTTCCTTCCTCTCGGCTCTCTCCACATCCATAACAGTAAAGAGAGGCTCATGGGCTGTGACTGAGTCCTGCCGGTGTTTAGTGGCAGTGAAGGGAGTCTTGATGAAGGCCTCGGAGTAACGTCTCTTCAGCTCTGGGTCCGGACAGAACAGCAGGTATATAAGGGCTGCAGCCAGAGCCCCAACCAGAGTTGGACCACCAGTACCTACATGCGGAACAACAGAACATCCTCAAAATGACACATCAACGTCTAGACTTTACTTTTAAACACAACAGCTTGAATGGTGTGTAAAGTTTATTATGATTTATACCTACTGTGTTATACCCAAATCTATGCCTAGGCGTAATACAGTGCAGTGGCTCTGTGCAGTTCATCATACTGTCAAGAAATAAGGCCACTAATACACGAGAACGCGTGCCATTCTATTAAATCAGCCAGGGAGTGACTCCCCTGTTTATGTGCAATACTGCGAAGCAGTAGACACAACTGTGGGTGCACAGGATAGGAACGGATAAGGAGGCTAGGAAATGTCTTAACGTTTGAAGGCCATGTGACACTAGACGAGTGCGTGTGAAAATGATGGAAAGAGGAAGAATATCAAAGTTCTCAAGAGATGAGACTACTACAATCCCTGAGATCTAAATCGACAAGAAGACATCAAAGCTGAGAGAACACAAAGAATATACAATATATGAACTTGGGTACCAGTCGCTGAGGAGAGGCTAGTCGGTTCAGAGATTTTGTGGCTGTTGTTGAATGTGACTTAAGGAACTCTAGCTGTCTCTTTGTTATTGGGAAAAACTGAAATCTAGAAGTTCAACGCAGAAGAACAAATTGAGACCACACAAAAGTGATATTAGAGCAAACGGAAATGACAATTTCATGAGCATGATAAGGCTGTAAACAGCAGCTCATGTAAGGTATATTTTTTCTGCTAAGATAGTATGTAGAACTTAATGGGACCCTTGGAGTTGATCCAAAAGTTTAGTTTCGTGTATCGTATACAACACGTTTTCCCTCACTCACCACTTGTCTTACTATATGCTACACTATGCTGCTTGGGGCATTGCCTTACGCTTCATGTGATTTGACGGCGTGTCAGAAATGATGCAGTGCTAGAGGGACACGTCATATTTTGAAGCAGGGCATGGCTCAGTGTTGACAATTTCAGGAATGAATGTGTGTATACTTATTTGATAAATATAATAAAAGACTTAATAAAGTTACCAGTGGTTTCCAGCTCCATGTGATCCAGTGGGCCAACGGATCTGGCAGGGGTTCATACTGGTCCTGTGTAGGGAGTCTGGGGAAAATCACACCACGGTTAACCCTTGTTCCAGAGCATAGAAGAATCACTGCTGTGACATTCAATAAATAGTAGAAATTTAATCTCAAAGTATAAATAAATAATAATTGTAATACCTTCAAATGGTTTAAATGGCATTTTAGGTCTAATGACCATTAGTAGGATGAATCATTTGTCGTGCTTCCAACATCATTATAGTTCAGTCTGTAGGGCTTTGGCTTGGACCGGGGGTTCGATCAAGTCCACGACGCAGATAATATGGAGTGGTTGGACTGGTACTGGAGGGTGTGCCGTTTCACCTCCCTTGGCACTGCCGAGGTGGGCCTTGAGAAGGCAACCTAACCCCGGAACTGCTCATGGCGAATCGTAACGTGGTAGCCCCATCATCCACCATCCATCCCCTTCTGCATGTCACATGTGGCATGAAGTGTGCATTTCAGCCTGTGTGTGTAAAAAACAGTAGTGAAAAAAACTATTTTCCCCTAGGGGATCAATAAAGTATATCGTCTTCTTCTTCTAAATCACTGCTCTGTTTCCTCAAAGGAATTCTCAAATGACCCTTGCCCTTTTTGCTCTGTGCTCCAATAAGTGGTCTCTGTAAATAATTTTAAAAATTTTTATATTTCTGTGTATATATTTATAGTAACAGCTCAAGTGTTGGGTACTTACAGCAAACAGGTGACCAACACACACAGACAGGCCGATAGCCAAAGCAGATGACCCCTTCAGGTCATTACGTCTGTGGTCACAGGTAGCAAACACAGTGAAGACCAGCTGAAAGGTGATGGAAAGTTCTATGACCAGAGCGTTTCCCTCCGAGATGCTTGTATTTACCTGGGTTGGAAACATCATCAGATATTTGTACGCCTTTTATATCTTGTATTAAAATGTGATCTGTATCTGGATTTAGTATGCAAAATTCATTACAATCTGATTGCACAATAAGATTGTTAGTAAGTAGCTTTTTAAAAATATAGACAAACCGTTGTGACCCCCATGCCTCCCCTGACAGAGGCTGGGGTGACCCCAAAGAGAATAGCAGCCCCCACTATGGCTCCTACACACTGGGCCAGCAGGTAGAAGACTGCTTTAGCCAGGCTGAGCTTCCTGGTCACCACCATGGCTGCTGTGACTGCCGGGTTGATATGAGCACCGCTGATGTGGCCGAAGCACTGCACCATTGTGGCAATACTCAGGCCAAAGCAGAGCGAGATGAGCACCAGGTCAGGGGGTTGGGGATCCTGACTAACAGCCCCCCAATTGATGGTCGAGCCGAGGCTGAGCAGGACGAAGAGCAGCATGGCGAAGAACTCGGCCCCCACACAGCGCCAGAACTCCTTAGTCCAGATGCCTTTGAAGGCAGTCATGGCTTCTTCTTGGGTGAAGCAAGATGGTGGCCAGAACTGACAGTGTGGTGTGTGGCAGTGGAAGCAACACTTCCTGGAGGGGGTGACAGGAACTTATGAGAAGGGGTTTCAATTAAGAAATAACTAATAATACTTTCAGTTACGTTTGAAAGAGCAGAAAACTGCAGTTCCACTAATGGTTGGCTCCAGCAGTGAATCAATCTGTCATGCTTAAAGTTATGCATATTTAAGGTCATTCGAGTGGCAGGTGAGTTTCGTCACAGGCGGCTGTTTTTAGTAACTGGGCTTTATTCATTCCACCTTGTTGTAATGGTAAAAAAATCACAATTAAAATTCTACAATCGTTCAATCAATATGCAGATTCCTTGAATAGTTTATTCTGTGCTGTTAATACAGTAACATTATGTTGGTGCGCTGGTTCCCAACCCCAACAAGGGGATAGTTTCACAGCCTCATGGAGACAAGGCTTTCTTGATTTTAAGTGGTGTAAGAAAACTATACAGAAGGCCTATATCTCAGCATTTCATTCATTTCTGTGAAGTAAATTGTTATTTTTAAGGGTGAAGGGTGAAGGGGGAGGATAAATCAGAGACCTGTGAGCTGGAGGACAAATAACTCACATGGAAGAGGACAGCTAGAGGAGTGAGAGTAGTTAAATGGACAAGAGCACTGGGAAGTAAAATAGTTCCTGGGTATAGTTGCTCTAAAAAGAAAAAACAGTGACATGAAAAGTAAAGAGTGGCAGGTTGTTCCAAGAATCAGTTGGGTTAACTGGACAACAAAGCTGGAAATAAGGTGATCCATAGAATTGGATTTTTCAAGAAGATAAGTGCAGATTATAGTGGTTTCTTTGTCCTTTGATTCAACTGGCAACACTGTCATACCATCACAAGTGCAAGAATTTCATACAATAACTTTGTGGGCCTCTTGTCACTTTGGGAGTGCATGCATGGGAGCACAAGCACAATGCTACTGTTACACTGTTTTAGGCTTTTGTGTACTCCAAGTAGTAATACACTATACATTATTAATTTGTTTATTCCTTAACTTTTCTTTGCATTTGCCCTTTAGTATTTTATATCATCCGTTTTTATTTTCTAAATGTATTTATAAATCAATTAATATGCTCTTTAGAGCCCGACCAGTATTGGACATTTTTTAGCGGGTGAAAGTAGAGCTTTTCTATGTGGATTGTGAACTGATATTACAATGCAAAGGTAAACAGAAGGCTGTTTTCTTAAACAAATAGCTTAAAGAATGTTTAAAGATCCAGTGTGTAACATTGAGGAGGATCTATTGTCAGAAATAGAATATCATATTCATAGCTATGTTTGTGATAAGAACCATTCTGTTTTCATTATGTTAGAATGAGCTGTTTTTATTTGCAGAGGGAGTGGGTCCTTGAACCCCCATGTTTCTACAGTATCCCACAAGGGACAAACAAAACACTGGCTCTGGACAGGGGTGTTAATGTTTTTTGTGAGTTTCGCTTCTTCTCTCTAAATCTGTGCTGCTTGCAACAGTATTGAAAATCACAGCACACTCTGCTGGATACATTTAGCACTGACACTTATATACTACCACAAGCATTTCTTTCTGCAATATATACCGATAAAAGTTTTTTGTATCAGTTAACATATACACAGTTACAGTGATTATAATACTACTAGCACTTGTCATAGTATCAGTAGGAGTACTAATAGCAGAAGAATTAATAGTAGAAAGAGTAGAAATAACAGCAGTAGTATCAATAGTACAGGTGGTCAGGTAACCCGTATTTTTAATATGAGGTCAGTACAAATCCAAAAGGTCCGATGAGGTCATCTTAAAGTCAGTAAGTATCCAAATAAGCATGTGGGTTATTATAAAATTCACTATATAATAGTTCCTTTATAAATGCCATTATTGTAGGACGAGGTTATTAACCAAAACTAAACTAAAACTATATGTGGAAGAAACAGTTCACTGAAATAAAAATAACAACTAGACTTAACTAACTGAAACAATATTATTTACTTAACTAAAATAAAATAAAATAAATATACAGAAAATACTAGTCAAATGTGTCAACATAATAAGCATGAGAAGGCATTAGGCATTATTGCAATACCTATTCTGACAAATACACCCCGTATTGTAATAAAAAAAGCTAAAACTGAAATGAATAAAAACTAAAGTAAAACTAAACATTGAATAATAAAAACTAAACTGGAAAACATTTTGGAATAAACTCTGCTGTAGACATTTAAAACGCAACATTTTGTATCCCAGAGAAATTCAATCAATGATTCATTGTTTGTGCTTAAATCTAATGCAACTCATGGTCAAACATTACAAATGTCCCCCATAGAGTCTCCACATCAACATGAGAACAGACCTGAGCCAGAACACACTGAACAAAAGTAATAGTCTGCTTCTTTTGTGGATCCCTGAGGTCATTATAACTTAACACAATGACCAAACTATACTGCTGCCTGTTGGTTTCAAACCAGTCTGGTTGGAACATTAGGAGCTATGTTCAAACCAACAAGAGCAGATCTAAATATTCATGAGTCGTCCAGAGGGTGGCATGGAGACTTTAAGGGGTGGCAGAAATATATGCTGATTTATTTACAAACATCACATGTATCAATATTTGCTTGGAAAAACGTCAAAATGAAGATATTTGAACTTAAAAACAGTTAGTAAAGCACTGAAGATCTAAAAAAAAAAAGATCTAAAAGCAGCATTGGAAATCAATTGAAACACTGTTTTATTTACAAATCTTTATATATATATTTTTCATTGAACTTAAGTATATCACTAAATTTAAATTTTTTAACACATAATTCAAAAAATTTATCTAAATTAATGTTTTAAATTTGACAGCATTTAACAAAGTAAAAAGTGAGAAAAGTGTAAAATGCTAACAACTATTAAATACCCTGTAATGCGTAAGTTATTTTAACTCAAAGCTTTTTTGTCAAAATTGATTTTAAATAACACAAACTTAAGTTAGTTAAGTTAAAACAACATTCTTGATTAAGAATCTTTCACTAGTACTTTTTACAAGGTATTCTGTTTTCACGGCACAAATAAAAATTACAAAATTATGTCAGTGTCACTGAGTTACTAAAGCTACTTGATGAAGAATGTTTTTTAACTCACAAAATTGATTTTGTTTTACTTAAAATTTCTCAATGTAATCAGTTTCAACATTTTTTTTGTTAAATCAGCTTATTCAAATTAATTCCAACCATAAATGTCAAGCAATAGCGTTTAGTACAACATCATTATTTAGACAGACTTTCTCTCTCCCCAACTCTGGCTGATCTCCAGCGTCCCTGGATCAGTGATCAGTTTACGGAATTGTATTTTCCTTCATCCACATTTCTAAACTCCACCGCCAAGGCTAATTATGGTCCAGAAGAACAAACAATAGATTGATTCACCGTACAGCTACAATTCATTGTCAAATATACAGCGTACATTCGTTACATTAACAAAAAAAACAAAAAAAAAAAGCGAACCCATCTTTCCTGCTGTGCTGTAAACTGACCAGCTCCTGTGCGTCGTTACGCGTGTACTCACCTCAGGCGCTGCAGAGCCCCGCCGCTCTCCGTCATGACTCCAGCTGCCCGCTGGATGTTTCTGTCTTTTATAGCGGGGCTCTGTGCGTGTGTGCGCCTTGTTTGTGTAAGGTTAGTTTCTGGTTTATCCTGGTCTGACCTGGATGGGATCGGATGAGTGAAAAATTAAAAATAACTCAGGTCATGGATCATAATAATATGATCGTATGATGAGGACTTCAACAGTTTTATTATTGGAGCTTTTCTTTTGTTGTTGCAGATTTTATTTTTATTTTTTATACTAGTTTTTATTTTTTTAGACTGTAAAAGAGACACAATGCAATGCAATATACGGCACATCAGGCAAACAGGATAAACAACACAATAACGGGCTGTAGCTACAGATAAAAATAAGGATTCATTTCATTTTATCGTCGATGACAACAACAAGTTTGTAGAATGAAATTTAGATATAATTCCTACTTTTAAAAATCCCTAAAACAAAAAAATAAAATAAAATGTACTATGAATTGTTGAGGGGGAATTTAACAGTAACACTTTATAATAACCATTATTAATAAATGGTAAATTGATCGGTACTAAAACTCAGTTAATGCACTCTTAAAAATGAAATAGTAGTTCATATATTTTTACTAATTATTAGTAATGCTATAAAACTTACTAATAATAACCATCCAAATAATGTTTATAGACGGTTTACAAACTAATGTCCCAAACTTCTTGGAAAGGGCAGTAATTATTATCATTAATATTAACCATTAACAGTATTAGAAATATTTGCTCCTTCTATCTGTATAGATCTTTTACAAACGATGTATTAACGGTTTACAAATCATTTACATACATGCTTAATACAGTACATAAAATGTTGTAATGTTAGCAATATTAAACTGTTAATAGTTTACAAATGTAATCACAATGTAATTGTTATCATCTCTCTTCAAGTTGGGAGGGTTACTTTAAAAATGTAATCACACAGTTACTAATTTCCTACCTAAAATGTAGTCAGTAACCTAATCCAGGTATCACAGAATTAAACTTTCTTTTACCTTTGGATTACCTCAACACCAAATGTAAATAAAGAGAAGAGGAAAGAATCAATAAGAAGTAGAAGACAACAGAACAATGTAACCTTTGGAAAGAAAATGGAAACCAAGATTATAAACATCAAAAACGTGTCCTCTGCCTTATGTAATTTTAATGACAAACTGATATATATTACTAAATGTAACTGTAATGGATTACAGTTACCTTCTTTTTGTATTATGATTACATGATTACATGCCTGCTTATCAGTTATGATAAGATATATTATTAATAAACTTTTATATGACATAAACTAATGATAAAATAACATCAATTAAAGCAACCTAGGGGTCACCAAAGCTTCTTGGGGGTTATGAGGCCTTCTTGATTTTAAGCAATGTATTAAAACTAAATTAAAATATACAAAGTAAGCCTATATCCCAGCATTTTGTTCACGTCTGTGAAGAAAAGTAAAAGTAAAGTAAATTGTCTAATAGAACAATGGCCAAGACAAGGAAATACTGAACTACTGAAATACTGACTAATTAAGTCTGTATGATTGTTAAAAATGATTTAAAAAATACATAATACAGACAGAAAATTGTATTAAAAGTTCCCTAACTAACAGGAAATAATTTGCTCAAAGTTTATCCAAATCACATCAGATCAGTTTAGCGCAAACTTCTTGTAGTTACTGAGTTCACGATTTGGGTTCATTGTACAGTTGTGAAATATAATATGAAATATCCATAAAATATGTCACTTAGTCAGTTTACTATATGGTAGAAACAGGGATCGCTAAAGGAAAAAGTTTGGGAACCACTGAATTATGTACTAATAATTAGTTATTATTTCATTGTTTGATAACCGTGAAATAATGAACTAAAGTTTAACTAACTATGGAATTTACCATTTAATAATAATGGTTGTTATAAAGTAAATGAATATTAAGTTTACGAGTGGTGGGGGCACTCCAGACAGCCTATCCCTAATGCCAAGTATTCACTGTGTACTGCATCTTTTTTAAAGAATGATCACCTTTCCTTTCACTCCGCCTTCCACTTTCCAGACAGGAAACCACAGAATTTGATTAATTCTAATAAAATTAGAGAGCTTTAGGTTATATGGGCTAGAACTTTCATAAAAGGATTTGCAGCGCCACAAAAGAAAACAACTGTTTGAGCAGTCTAGGGAATCTATGGCACCACAGCAGCTCAGCAGTAATACCATTACAGACAGCATACATTTCACTTTATTTGTCAAACATGGGTATTGTATAATTATATTGAATATTAATATAAAACACATGATAATAAGTGCTAGTGTACATTGGAAAGGCTGACTTTCATTCTCTATATATATGACACTAGAGGGCATGGCTGAAACAACTTCTTTGATTTCCCACATCTCTCCGTGTTCTTTAGATATTGTGAATACATGCTCTGTTTTTTTCCCCAAGCATTTGTATTTTTTGGTGTGATAACTGACTCATGCTAACTCTCAGTGTAATGCAGTCCATGATCGTTTCACAAATAAGTTATTGTGTAACTTACATTATAAGGAGTTCGGTTTAGACCTGGCTCTATAATAGTTGAAAAAGTGTCCTGGAGATAACTCATCTGTTATGAATTGGGCGTATACAAATAAAAAAAAAATGTAATTGAACTTCTTGCTCACAAGCAGCAACTACAATAATCTATCAACTTAAAATGATATACTATAATCAGGCAATTACAACTGAAACTAAGTATATTCAATTTTGATAATTTAATTTACTTTGCTAGTATTTATTCACCAAATTAGCTTTGGTTCTTGA